TTAGATGAAAAAGAATAGTTTGGAATTATTGTTTTCTGATGGTGTTTAATTTGGTTTTTGGAGATCATGTTAAATTACATAAAATCTCTACATCCAAAAGCAATTTATTATAATTTATCGGGGTATCGGAGGGGGTTTTGTCTTCAAATCCTGTCTTTGTTCCTTTCCTTCATAGAACATTCTTCCCTTGGCTTAACTGATATTTGTTGTCATAACTGGATTTAAACCATCTCATATCAATATTTCATTTTTGGTCTTTATTTAGTTAAAACCATGTTCAGAGATGCTCTTGTACCCATCTTTGCATTTTTTTTGAAGGTCCGAAGCGTATGTGCAAGTCCTACTCTATCACTTTCAGAGAGGTGTTTTTCTGATGGCTTATCTTATTCTTCTGATAGTTTTTATTCATCGGAAAGAGTCCTATCAAGTATGCAAAATGTAACGGATATCTCAGTTCCAAATTCTCCACATATTGAATCAGATCATCTCAAGAGGCGGCGAATTTATTCTGATGCTGGCTATGAGCCTCATAGGTTTGTTTCCTATGCTTTTGGAACTTCAAGAATTGAAAAGGACAATATTTTGAAAGATGTCATGATCTGGGGTGAAAGTATTGGAGGGAATTTAGATTCTGCGGTCAGTAGGATTATTAAGAACAGTGGATTGCATGTAGATGCTGTATTGCCTAAGTTATTAGAATCTACTATGATGTTGGATGTACATAATATATCTTTAGGAGGGAAGCATGCTGCTATAGTTACCAAGCAAGGGGAAGTATTCTGCTGGGGTCAGGCTGATGGGGGAAGATTAGGGAACAAAATCAATATGGATGTGAGCTACCCTAAACTAGTTGACTCCCTTAATGGGATCCAGGTGAAATCTGTCTCGTGTGGTGAATATCAAACATGTGCTCTGACACATTCTGGTAAGCTATATACATGGGGAGACACAAGTTGTGGTGACAGTTTAGCGGGCAAGGAGAAGACTAGGAGTCAGTGGTTACCGCAGAAACTTTCTGGTTCTTTAAATAGCATAAATATATCAAATGTTACTTGTGGGGAATGGCATACAGCTATAGTGTCCACCTCAGGGCAGTTATTTACATATGGAGATGGAACTTTTGGGGTTCTGGGGCATGGAAATCTTGATAGTGTTTCTCAACCAAAGGAAGTTGAATCTCTCAAGGGTTTATGGGTAAAATCTGTTTCATGTGGATCATGGCACACGGCTGCTGTAGTTGAAATCATGGTCGATCGTCTCGGGTTGAATTCCATAGGTGGGAAGTTGTTTACATGGGGTGATGCAGATAAAGGAAGGCTTGGACATGTGGATAATGAGAGGAAGCTTTTACCAACATTTGTTGCTCGGCTTGTGGATCATGATTTTGTTCAAGTTTGTTGTGGAAGAATGTTAACCGTTGGGCTTACAAATAAAGGTACAGTTTATACAATGGGAAGTGCAGCACATGGGCAGTTAGGGAATCCACAGGCCAAGGATAAATCAATCACAGTTGTTGAAGGGAAGCTTAAAGAAGAGTTCATTAGGGAAATAGCATCAGGTTCATATCATGTTGCTGCTTTGACTGCTAGAGGAAGTGTTTATACCTGGGGAAAGGGGGCAAATGGACAGTTAGGATTAGGTGATGTTGATGATCGCAACACACCCACTTTTGTGGAGGCGTTGAGAGACAGGCAGGTAGAAAGTATAGTTTGTGGATCAGATTCCACGGCAGCAGTCTGCTTACACAAATCTATTTCTGTCAATGACCAGTCAACTTGTTATGGATGTAACCTGCCTTTTGGGTTTATTAGGAAGAAGCATAACTGTTATAATTGTGGTCTTCTATTCTGCCATGCATGTAGCAGTAAGAAGGCTATGGATGCTTCGCTGGCACCCAAGAAAGGCAAGGCTTTTCGAGTCTGTGATCCATGCTTTAACAATCTGCAGAAACTAACACATTCATGTAGATCATTCAAGCAAGAAAATCATAGTACAAAACAGCTATCGACAGAAGAAAAGGCAGTCCCAGATAGGAAGGAAGAAAAGGCTGGAGCAACGCCCAAATATGGTCACTTGTTGTCTATTAAACAGGCTTGTAACAAGGAAAACAAGTCTGGAATGAGGAACACCATGAAGAACCATGGAGGTGACCAGCAGCATCTAGAGCCTGTTTCTTCTTTTTCAAGCGAAGTGCCACGATGGGGCCAAGTCCCATGCCCTGATCTATTTAAACCATACTGCAGAGAAAATTCTACAGCACTTGACTCTTTGTCCAAAAATAATTCATCTTCTGTGCTCTCAGTGCATTCAGATTCTGCTCTTTTCAGCTCCACTAATGCAGAGAAATGCATATCCATGTCGGATGAGATGCTAATTGAAGAAATTCAGCGGCTGAGAACTGAGGTGATTCCATCTTTTTAATTTTCAACACTAGACAGATGCAAATATGATATATATATATGCGGTTGTGCTTGTTTATAACATTTTTGTTTCCCTTATTCTTTGAGGTTTGCACACTCATGCAAACATGTCAGTGTTATCCAATTCCTAGTTTAAAACTTACTAAAGTAGTGCAGAAATAAGACTTCCAGTCACCTTTTAGGTATTTAGGTAGGTTTTGTAAGATATACTAGTTTATATAAAGTTCAATTTCTTAGTTTTATTTTACAATGTTTGTATGTTACCTGCTAGTTGTGTACAAATATGTTCATATACTATTTTGGATATGTTTTTCACCACTTTACTCAAATTAGGCAATAAGCCTCCAACGGAAATGTCAAATTGGAAGCCACAAGATTCATGAATGTCAACAGAAAATTGAGGAAACATGGTCCCTTGCAAGGGAGGAAGCGGCTACGTGCAAGGCAGCACACGAGATTATAAAAGCTTTGGCGTTAAGGGTAATTTCTCGTTGTTTCTCCTAAAAAATAATCGGTTATATAAAAGGCTGCAATTTTTTACTCCATGAATTTTCATTTTGCTTTTGAAGGAAGTCCATGTCTTCTTTCGATCACTTAAGTTTCATTTTTGTTCCATCTGTTACAATGTCATATACTTCTCAATGCCATGAAACTTGTAGACATTATCCTTGAAAAGCTTATAATTTGGTTGTCATCCTGTTTCTATAAGAAATAATTAATTTTCCCTGGAATTCAAAGCCCCAAATCTGTCTTTGAGTCATGGCAAAACACCAATGCAGTTACTTATCAATATGATATTGGGTAATGTAAGACCATGACCATAATTGTCCACATCCCCACTCAAATTCTTATATGGACTCTATCATTTGATATCGATCATATCTAAACCTCGTTGATTGTGTGTACTACTTCAAGTGTTAGAGTGTTCCCAAAATGTTTAGCATCTTGCAATGTGAGATGAACTGTTAACTTTCCTTCTATTAATACTTTAGATAACTTTGAAAAGCTAGACATTTACAGGATGTTTTTCTGATACATAAACAATGAGAGTTGCTTCAAGTGACTTTAAGCATAAACTTGTCTTAAATACAGCTGTTGAGAATCTTATATGGTGTGCCTCACTCTCTTCTCTTTCGGCCTTCTAGTCACTGGACGGAAACTTAATTTAAATTATTTGAAAATACATCCAAGCCTTCTGCAAGGGGACATTTGATGAAATTCTAGCCATCAAAAAAATTCCCGGGACAAGTTTTATGATGTGAAGTTCTTGAATCATGAGTTTCTATTTGTGCAATCTTGTTTTACAGGACAGATAAATGTACTTCTATATTTCAGTCTGTGATCGTGGTATATAAGTTTTTGTGCAATGCAGTTAGTAAGCCAATAACTTATACAAATTATTTGCTGCAGCTTAATACTATGTCAGAAAAGGTGTCTGCTGGAAGGGAAACAAACGATGTGGTTGCTAAAATTGTTCCTCAACTCACGCCATTGAATACCAATACATCAAGTCGTCATTTACTTCCTCAAGTAGATAGTATACCTGATACTCCTATTGGGTTCTCTGATACACCGAAGTCCTTGTACAAGAGAGATACTTGTCTAAAGAAAGGCCGGCCAGAGGAGGATTTACATCCTGCAAAAACAGAATCCCAGCAAAGAGAAACTAAAGCAGTGAAGCTTGAATGGGTAGAACAATATGAACCTGGAGTGTATATCACGCTTGTTGTTTTGCCAAGTGGACAGAAAGGGCTAAAGCGAGTGAGATTTAGGTATTTTCTATCTGAATCATTCCATGTTTGTTTAGCTATACTTGTGCATGAATGATGTCTTCTGTGAGAGGGAACAGAAGCTAAAATGTATAAGGTTCTGAATCTTTAACACAAGTTTATGTTTAAAATAGTCAACGGTTTAATTTGCTTTCAAGTCATTCTCATCCTCTAGAATATTAACTGGTATTCATCTTCTCTTTACTTTTTAAAAATAAAATAAAATCATTCCTAGGTGTTCAGTCGGTTACCTTATTATACATGAAGATCATGTCTTTATGTTATCATGGAATCAATTTTAACTGAATCACAGTTGCTACTTGGGGTTGTTACCTTATTATACATGAAGATCATGTCTTTATGTTAGCATGGAATCAATTTTAACTGAATCACAGTTGCTACTTGGGGTTGTGTTTTGCAGCCGAAAAAAGTTCGCTGACAAAGATGCAGAAAGATGGTGGGAGGCAAATCAAGGTTTGGTATACCAGAAGTATGACATTGAAGAGGGATATGAGAACTCAAAAGAAATTTAATTTGAAGGGCTGGTTTTTAGTTGCCCTTTATATTTGGACTTGTATAGCTCAACAGCCAGCTGATAGGTGAGATTTTTAAGTAGATTGTGACATGCGCAGTGAAGAAATTTATTGTATGGTAAGCATTGGGTGCAATGTTATTTATTTATTTGATGAAACAACAGAAAACTACAAAGAAGATCCCTGACATTCCAATACTCCGAAAATCATTACAAATCTTGACTGCCACACGGTACACGGAAAATTAGAAAACCAAACATAAGGTTGAGTATAGTTATGTCCCAATATGGGTTGCAATTCATATGAAGTGTAAATCTCATAAATAGTGAGCCCGTCTCTCTCTCTCTCCCTCTCTCAAGATGTCAGATGGCCGGCTTTGCCGATGCTACATACTCCAAGACAAAGCCTTTGTGCAAGCATAGTAAGCTCCAAAGTTACAAACACACAACGCTACTTGACATATATTAAATTATGAAACTTACAAGAGCCTAGCCTCTTTTCGAAGGGCAAAACAAGAACACCACTAGGCCTTACGAACATCGAAAACGTCATCTCCAAACAATACACATTCCTATAAATTTCCACATCTACCTCATTTTGATAACACAGTCTAAAGAGAACAATCATATAGAAGAGATCGAAGCACTCATAGCAAAGATGTCTGATGTCATTCTTTTGGACTGTTGGGTGAGTCCCTTCTGCATGAGGGTGAAGATTGCCCTGGAGGAAAAGGGCATCAAGTATGAAGACAGAGCTGAGGATCTCATTGGAGGCAAGAGTGAACTGCTGCTCACATCGAACCCGATTTACGGGAAGGTGCCGGTGCTGCTTCACAATGGAAAACCATTGTCTGAGTCGAGCATCATCGTTGGCTACATTGATGAGACCTGGGCTTCACCACCACTACTCCCATCTTGCCCTTATGGTCGGGCTCAAGCCAAGTTCTGGGTTGACTTCATTGACAAAAAGGTTGGTTTTCTTATACTTTTTATGGTCAGCAATCTTATATTTCGATGTTGCGTTTCCCACTCCTACAACTCATAGGACACTTTTTTCCTTTTGGTGTTTAATGAGGTTTCTCTTTTTGTGCTCTTTGAGTTTAAGAACACAAATATTTGTGTTCTGTCAATAGCCACGGTGCACCCACATATTATTTGTTGAACAAATTTTATGGCTCTATCTATATATAATATAGCATGCGCGCATGTCTAACTTCATGATATTCTTGTACACATGAAGTTGTTCGATGCAGGCGGCAACATATGGAAAACCAAAGGAGAAGCACAAGCGGTGGCTGTAAAAGACTTCATAGAGATCTTAAAGCAGCTGGAGGGTGGTCTGGGAGACAAGGATTACTTCGGTGGCGATAGCTTTGGTTTCGTGGACATCATAGCGATCGCTATAACCAGCTGGTTTAATGCATTCGAAAGGTTTGGCAACTTCAAGGTTGAAGACCACACCCCAAAGTTTTCAGCTTGGATTAAGAGGTGCTTGCAGAGAGAGACAGTAGCCAAAGTCATTCCAGACCCAGAAAAGGTTTATGAATTTGTCCTCTTTCTCAAAAAGATGAACAGTATTGAATAGAGATCGAAATCGGCCAACTTGTTTGATGGATCAAAACTGTAGTACTTGTCAAAACATAGAGAATATTGAGAGAAGAGAGTGGAAAGAGTAGAGAGAATGAGAGTTGTTGAATATTTTCTGATTTTCACTTATGTTCATTACTTACAATCAACACATATATATACAAGTTCCTAAGACATTAGTCAAGCCCCCCAAGTTAGGCAACCAACCAAGTTAGGCAACCAACACTCGGATGGAGTTCATAATATAGGAAAATGAGTCTTCTTAGGGGACAGTCTTTTGACAACTTTGTTTTCATCAGCTAAATAAATTGAACTTTTTGACTGTGGATCATATTGTAATTTTTCTTCTCTCTATCTAATGTTCAATATTGCAGTGTTTTTTTCTTTTTGGTGTCCATCTCTCGCTAATGTTTAACTTTGTTTCCAGCTAAATAAAAAGGTTAATTAATTTTAATTACTTCATTGCAAGTGAAGTGCTTCATCTGTTTTCATGCATTCCAAAACTTCCTTTGGATTAATGCTACGTACACCAAATTTGCACACAGCATCTTTGAGTTCCAAATGATATCTCCGTCCATACTTCAATGGAGGTTTTGGCCTAATCGAACATATATGAAAAGCTTATAATTTGGTTGGTGTCATCCTGTTTTTAGAAGAACCATATTTGTTTTTTTTCAATACAAGCGATAGTCTAAATTAAAGGGGAAGCAGATTTCTCACATGCATACATAACTAAGATGCAATGGGATTCGAACTTGAGACCTATTATCTGCAAGTCAAGGTCCTTTTTCCTTGAAAGATGCCTTATATTTCCTGTCTTTGAGATTAGACATAAATGCAGTTACGTTATAGCCGCTCCCGTTTCGGTGCCTTCACAAGTTCACAAGTCTTCGCTCTCAAAGTTGGGTTTCGAAAGTTACCACTTTTGCCGTCTGTGGGTTGGTTGGGCCTATAGATCTCTAAGCAACCATAAGCCAGCCTGGACCCTTTTAATTGTTGGATTTCCCTTTGCATCTAAGGAATATTTGGTCCGTTCATGCCAATATGCTGGAGAATTTTAAATGTCAATCATCGAAGTTTTTTTATAATACAAATGATAATCTAAATTAATCTAATCTACATGCAGGGGATTCAAACTTTATCCAACAGTTAATTAGTAAGAAATTTATTGTATGAGCAACAAGTGATCAAGTGATCACTGGTGTATAAGTCACTTTTTTATTTTATTAATTGGGATTGGGGATCTGAACGTGAGTTGTCGCCCTGGCACCAGTTATAAGTACTGTATGGTTGTCATTAGCAAGTCTATGGATATAAATTAGTGTTTTCTTAGGTTCTTCAGAATCATGTATTGTGGCTTGAATTTGTAATCAATCATATTGAGGGAGAGAGCAAAGGTGAAGAACTTGGCACCAGTGTGGTATTGGCCGAAGGTTCTCCGATGCTTAAGTTTATAGTTTAGAATAGAGTACGGAAGTATTTTGATATAGTAAGGATACAAGTGTCAAATTACTATTATTTGGTGCATTGGGACGAGAGCCTTATTTATAGAAGAGAAATAGAGAGCACCTTGGGTTGTCATTTCCTCGGCAAGCCATCCTACCGGTCTAGTTCAAGGACACATGGGAGCTCTCGGGTGAGGCCAACAGTCCCACATTAAGGACACATGGGAGCTCTCGGGTGAGGCCAACAGTCCCACATTGGGCCAGTCCCCTTGACGATGCCCGGTATGGGTCTTAATGGATGAGCTGGATCAGGAGTCCTTTGGTTAGGGTATTGTTTCCCGTGTATTACCCTTGCCGAAGAGCAGTCAGATAATGATATAAACAATATTCTATATACCATGAAGAGTTATAAGTTTGAGAAAAAAACTAGAGGTAGTTGATGAAGAAAAAAGAATTGAAAAGACGGAATTTTTTTATTTATTTTAAAGTTCTTGAAAACGTTATTTAATATGAGCTTGTAACTTTTGACTTTGCAATCAAAATCCGTTTTGTGGAAATTAATATATTGAGCATGGATCGATACATTATGTAAGGTATTGAGTCATCCTCTTCTATATCGTCATATCTCATATGAATCAACTTCCATCCATCTCCGTCCCAAGGACACTTGTTGTAAGTCGTGGAGTTCTACTCCATGAACGCAACCATACACAATTGGGCTTTGATATCTGTTGACGTCAAAAAATGGTTCTCTGACTTTGAGGGTCAACTTAGTAATTTTATGCCTTCGGTATCCTTGATGCCTTGGTAATCAACGTGATCTGCAATATGAGCAAACGCACGGTAAGACCTAGGGCACCGGTGTGGTACCGGCCGAAGGCTCTCCGATGCTTCAGTAAATTCGGGATTAGAAAGTTCAACTGACAGATCAATAGGCTTGTATGCCGTAAGTTCTGATCACCTCTATTTTGGAGTGGTTGGCCTCTTTTATAGGCATTGGGAGGTGTGCACTTTGTTGATAATTTCGATGTGGGACTGTGGACGTCGCTAGGGAGCATGCCACGTGTCCAGGGAGAGGGCGTTGCCCTAACGGAGAGATCGGTAGGTAGGATGCCGAAGGCGTTTCTGACCAGGCACGATTCCTTCCACGTGTCTTGTTCTCATTGGCTGTTCATTTCGGGTATAAACAATATCAAATTGATAGGTGACGGGATCAAATCCATCGATGCCAAGCCAAGTTTTCTCATATTCTTATAAATTTAGCATAAACTACGTATCAATTACATGGCTACGCTTATATAACATGAAAACTCTTTTTAGGGAGAAATAATCTAAGAATTTACTTGAATATTTGGTTACCTTTCTTAGGGAGAAATTTTTGTATGTTTCGGATACACTAGCTTGCCATCCAATATACAAAAGACATGTGGTTTGAACCCCTACAACTAACTGCACTGCTTTTTAAAATAAAAATAAAATATTTGCACATATCCTACGTATATTAGATGGTACATTAGCCAACTGGTATACTTGGAACATACAAAAATTACTAATTTTTAGGAGCTTAATGGCTTGATTAATTCCTGGTATGGTCTGCGTTAAAAAAAAAGGTAAAAAAGTAAAAACTGTTAGTTGGATAGCTTATACCAATGACTGGAAAAGACAAAAGGAAGATACTAATTAATCATCTAATCGGGTATTAGAAAAGGAAAAAGAAACTAAGGAAGGAATGTGGGGACGGGCAGATGAGCATGTGAAAAGGACAGTCTTGAGGTAGAACGCCGCCGAAATTCGTTTCCGCCAGTTCTCGTTAAGAAATATACTTGTTTCCACAAAAGGCTGGTAATGCCTCCAATAAGATACCACCACGTGGAGTAGAGGTTCCAAGAAAGGACAAGAACGAAGCATGGGATCATTTGGGAGAGAGAGAGAGAGAGAGAGAGATTAAGCAGCTTCCAAAGAACGATAGGAAGAATCATGATCATGTTGATTGGTTGAGGAAAAACAAATGTGTAAAGTTAAAGTTGGGGAAATATCAGGGGGGGTGGGGGGTGGGGGTGGCAGCCTCCCCATCTTTATTTTGCTTTTTCATTCTTGCCTTTTTGTTCTCTTATTAACAAAACCCCAAGCAACCCCCCCACATTCCACCTCTTTCTTTCTCTCTCAACTTCCACACTCCTTCCTCTTTCTCCCTCTCAATTCCCAACTTTGGATCTTCATCTTCTTCCTCTTCCTAGCTAGCTAAGGTTTGTTTGTGTGTGTATAAGCATATACGTACGTATATGTACATACGTGCAATATATCACGTATGTATATAGATATGCATGGTGTATTTATTTAAAATTGTAACATTCTAATAGGGTTTTTGTGGCTAATTGATTTTTACAGGGTGTTGTGGTGCAATTCTTGATTATTTTGTTGATGAGCGTTGTCATCGTCCGCACTAGCTAGCCATAATATTTGTGCCCTTTTAGGACAATTAAGAAGAAGAAGAAGGTCCATATTTTATGGCTCCTGTTTCATTGCCTCCTGGTTTTAGGTTTCATCCCACAGACGAAGAACTGGTTGCTTACTACCTCAAAAGAAAGATTAATGGCCGTAAGATCGAATTAGAGGTCATCCCTGAAGTTGATCTCTACAAGTGTGAGCCATGGGACTTACCAGGTACTTCTTTTTCTTAATTCCATTCTTCTACTCTTGCTGCTACTGCTGCTGCTGCTGCTTCTTCTTCATCTTCTTTCCTTTGTTTTTTTTTACTACATTGTTTTACCACCTTTTTTCTTTTCAATTGTTTTTCTTTTTCTTTCCGGTCATTTTGATAATACTTTAATTAATGCTTTAGGCTCGATTTCTGGAATGTGGGAAATGATTAATTTAGGAGAAATACAAACCACCTTAATTAGAGTCTTTAAAAATTGTTTGCTTCTCCTAAAATACTCTAATCCTTAGTTAAATCGAATGTTTGCATCCAATTGGTGCTCATTTCATACGCCAACAGTTTTTAGATTGATTTGGATTAGGAACATGAAGAAGAAGAAGAAGACTCTATAATCGAATTATTGAGCAAGACCAAGGCGTGATTTATAAGATGAATTTGATATAATACCAAAACGCACATAGACCCTATAAAGAATACCTTTTCCCTAAATATGATCACACAAAATAACCTAGGCATGCTTATCCTTCTTTTTGTTCAACTATGCTCTTATTGGGAAGTACTTAACCATGAATTTAAGTACTTTCTTTACTTCTTAGTCAAATATGCTGAGCTTTTTAACAATTAAATACCCAGTAGGGCTTTAAATAGGTCTAATTTATAGACCAAAAAGTGCTTGAGACACCGACATATGGTCCCTCCATCTTTACGGTTCCTGTTGTGAACACCAAGTTTTATATATCTAAGTGAGACAACATTATGGGAGACAAGTCAAAAAGGTATAGGCTAGCATATGGAAAAAGAAAAGGATTGCTTTGTGTTTGCGAGAGGTATGAGTTCCAAGCAATGCTTTCCATGCACTTCTTCCTTCATACCATTTTAAATTCTTTCATTGCATTTTTGGAGCTTAAACTTGTGAGTGACGTGTTCCCAAAAGAGATTCTGGTTTATAATAAGGACCCTTAAAAGAACAATCATGCAGTCTTTTTTTTTTCGTTTTTGTCAGAACAATCATGCAGTCTTAGTAGTATTATATAAAGCTTTCACATTATTATTAAAATATATGTTGTAAAACCATGCAATATGGGATTTAAATTGAATAATCTAGATGATAAATGGAGTCAAAAAAGGTAAACAAATTATTTTATGTGGTTGGTGTGGTACCTTATTATTTTGGTTGTAACTTTTTTCACGAGTGATGCTGAAAGATCACACCTCCAGATAATCGTATGGTGTGATTAGCTAATATGATTTAGAAAATGTGGTTTTTTTATATCTCAATTAGACTTACTCATGTCAGTGCTACGGCCTTCTTTTCATTATAACTAGGTTAACCAAATTGTAATTATTAATACAGGAAAGTCATTACTACCCAGCAAAGATCTGGAGTGGTATTTCTTCAGTCCGCGAGATCGAAAATACCCTAATGGATCCAGGACCAATCGTGCAACTAAAGCTGGATATTGGAAGGCCACCGGAAAGGACCGCAAAGTAAACTCACAGACGCGCGCGGTAGGCATGAAAAAAACCCTAGTTTATTACCGGGGGCGGGCACCCCATGGGATTCGAACCGATTGGGTTATGCATGAGTATCGCCTTGACGAGAGAGAGTGTGAAACTGCACAAGGCTTGCAGGTTCAGGTTCTTTTCTAATTTTCTTTGTCAAAGTCCACGGTTCATATTAATTCATTTTCATTACAAAATAATTCCTACAAATTACTAATTTGATTCATCTTTTCGAAACACATATGTAATGTGCAGGATGCATATGCGCTGTGTCGTATTTTTAAGAAAAGTGCAACGGGGCCAAAGATAGGAGAGCATTATGGAAGCACAAGTACTACCAATTACCAACTTACCAGTGATCACTCATCAAGCGTTGAACTGTATTCTGATGGTGGAAGATGTGAAGATTTCGAAAGCTCCAGTTATCCGATGCAAATGAACGCATGCTCTTCTTCACCAAACTTTGTCCATACATCCTCACTTGACATGGCTAGAAAAAGAGATGGAAAATGGACACAGTTCTTATCTAAAGATGCATTTAATTGCTCATCCTCATTTTCTTCATTTCCCAATCATGGAAATGTTCCATACCCTCCATCTAAGGTATTACTAATTTCCGTGTCGATATATATTTTCGGTGTTAATTATTTCAAATAAGAATTGTACATACATGTATAATAAATGGTTCAGATCGAGAGTCCAACAACATATAATATGTATGTACGCTAGACTTTCTGGCAAACTAATATTTCCTTAAAAGGGTTATAGTCCCTTAACACCATTTCCTTGTTTGCAGGTTGATATAGCATTGGAGTGTGCAAGGCTGCAGCATAGGCTCTCACTTCCTCCATTAGAAGTGGAGGATTTCCCTCAAGTTGGACTCAACGACTTCAAGACGATGCAATATTCAAATCCTGCAGTTGAACCCACAAGTACTGAGACTGATGCACTGCAGGAAATTCTCTCAGTTGCACATGTTTCTCAAGAAATGATCAATCAGTCCAGTAATCTTGCTGATCAGACATGGGGTGGAAACTATGCTGCTCCAGCCAATGACTTTAGCTTTATTGTTGACAGAGATGCTCATTATGATCAGATTACTGATCACATGAATTCTATGAGATATGCGGACAAATCATGGGAAAATCCATACATAAGGTCAATCGAGATTGGAGATCTGGAGGATGATTTTAGGATGGAGAATACAGCTGAGAATCTAAGATGGGTAGGAATATCAGACAAATATCTGGAGAAGGTACCTTTACAATTTAACTTAATTATCAACTTCCAATTCATCATACTTGGCTTGCTTAAAAAATAAAACCAGCTTATTGAAAATGCAATTTGACTAAAAGTCATGATCTCTGGGTGACCTTAGGTGTCAAACATTTAGATACAAACATTAAAAGGTGAGGTAGAATTTTTTGTTCATATACATGTTATTTCTTGATACTGATTTACGTTTTCCTTTTTTTTCAATATTCGATAGAGTTTCATGGAAGAAAACAAGGTAGTTCCATTAGAAAACATTTCGAGTTTTCGAAGGGAAGAGCAAGAGCATGAGGTTCAAGGTACATATGAGAGCTTTAAGTCGTATATATTTTTCTTTCTACATTAGCGGTCAATGAGTTTTAGCTCAATTACCATGAGATGAGTGAGGTGATGGTAGAGATCTTAGGTTATTTAGTTACGTACATTTGTTTCTAGTTGCAGGAGAAACTGGGGATCAAAGTGGCATGATTAAGGAATTCAACGATAGCGAGACGAATGATGATTTCTCACTTGGATTCATCAATGAAGACCCAAACGATAACTTCCTCAATGATGGCGCCATGGATGACTATTCGCCTTCTCCAAGTTTCGAAGTCATCGAAGAAATTCAAGTTAACCATGGCATGTTTGTTTCGACTCGTCAGGTGGCCGAGACATTTTTTCACCAGTTAATGCCTTCACAAACAGTTAAGGTCCATCTAAACCCAGTGTTGGGGCACAACTTCATTGTAGAAAGAGTCGATACACAAACAAAATTTGAGAATATAGGCTCTTTCTTTGAGAGTTTCAAGGCTTTTGGGATGGACAAGTTTGTGGGAGTTAGCAAATCCACAAAGCCATGGAGGAAAGTTGCAAGCACTCTTGTTTGTGCAGTTACACTTCTGTTGATGCACATCATTTATTTTGGGCAACATGTGGAAGGTGAAAAATTGATGGATGCATTCACCACAACCACAACTGCTGCTATAGTGGAAGAAAAAGGCAATTCTAATGTTAGCAAGAAGAAGAAAGGACTTGGATTAATTAAGTGGAGCAACAAAGAAGAAAAGGTTTGCTTGGTGAATATAAGAGGTGGGAATAGTTGTAGTGTGCTTCTGAAGAAGATAGGGGTTTTCCTCACTGTTTCTTTGGCTCTTTGTACCATGTGGGCTCTTTGAACTCACCATTTTATTTCGGTTCTAACCATAGTTTGTTTGTTTGTTTGTTTGGGAGAGGGGGATAATTCAGCCTAACCCATAGCTACACTTTTCTTAAATATATCTTTACAATTAATTGTATTTTATTTATTGACACAAAGTCATGTAATATTGGATATTGATTTATACTAATAGAGATTTCTTTGCTTCTTATTATTATTTGTTTTTTCATGTATACATGTGTGGCAACTATATTTTGGGCTTGTTTGGGAGTGCTTCTGGAAGAGCCAAAATAGCTATCTGACACCCAATAGTGCTTTTGACAGAGTTTGACAGAAAAATTTAAAAGTGTTTTTAGGTCGTAAAAGCACTTTCTGAATAAGCACCTACTATGTGCTTCTTCGGGAAGCATTCCAAATGCTTTTTCAAGAAGCACTTGGATTTCTGATGAAAATTCTAACATTTTTATAATAAAAACGCTTTTGTCATAAGCGTTTATGTACTTCCTAGAGAAGCATTCCCAAACGATATCATTTAAAGCCACTTTAAGTTACAAGAGAGGTCATATCTTTATAGCAATATTCTATCAAATTAAGTAGCATAGCATTTGTCATACTCCTAAGAGCTCCTACCTTTATCCTGTAAGGGCTTACTTGTAATAAGCGTGGCAAGTAATAACAGAGCTCATATCTTTATATTGTGATATATCAAACTGGATAATATATAACATATCTGTCACATATACTCCAAGGAGCTCCTGCATGCCTTTATTTTGTAAGGGCAAGTATAAAACCAGCGAGGATTCTTAACACCTTCACGGGATCTTAACGTGGGGATTGAGGGCTTACATGTGACCCTTTTGTTTTTGGCCGCAGAGGTCACAGAGTTATATATTCTTTTTATACTTTTCTTTTGTCAGAGTTATTTTAATTCGGCTCAAGTATATGTTTAACTGATCTGGTTGTGTTTTTTTTTTGGTCGAAACTGATCTGGTTGTGTTGGAGGAGCCATAATGTGCAATAAAACCTACCCTCTCTGTCTCTCTCTCTCTTGAGGGTGTAGCATCCAAAAGTGTAGCTGAAACCTATGAAGACCACCGACAGCCCCATTACTAATTACCAGTGAAATTTGAGGTTGTTATAAATTTGTTGAACACTGAAAGACATTCGAGCATCGACCCACAACATAGGGCATTTAAGCATTGGGAGTATAAACATTTTGTTGGGTTGCTTGAGCACATGACAATTTTCACTGTTGGAGATAGTGGAGGGTTGTGGTGTATATATTGGTGCAGAGTGCACATGTCATGTATAATCATGGTACAAGATAAAAAGATTAGCAAGTTTAGAGAGCGTGCAGCAAAGTGATGAAAAGAAGATGACAAATATGGAAGGCAATATGGGTTCACGGGTCACTAACTATTGTGTCCCAATTATCAGTTGGTCCTGCACATCCTGCCAACTCACACTCACGACCCAATTCAAGAAATTTATTGACCTCATCTCCAACTAAGAATATCATCCCATGACTCTCTCTCAACCAAATTGTGGTGGGGGCAATTGAGTGGCCAGCTGATCATGTGTGCTCCACTTCAATTGATGATGTCATCTTAACTCCCATAGTCCCTGAATTCTACCGTATTGTCTCCAATTTAACTACTTAACTTATCTCAACGTGATTACAACTATAAATCCATTATTTTGGAGTTTTATCTTATCTCAAAACACCCTGATATAATTTAGGAATAACTACTACTTCATTATGTTCAATCTCTTTCTAATGTGAGACAACTGAATTTGATTCACAATTCCTAATAGCACTAGTGAATTGCACTAGTTATTTTAGTTGTTCTCACACGTGTGGATAATTGTCCGTCGTCAATGAAAAATAAAATTACAGTTAAGTAATGTTTGTTGTTACTAATCTCAAATATGATCAATAGATGGAATGTAAATCATTCACGTAGGTCCCACATGAAATCAGAAAATGACATTCTTGAAAAGCAGGAATGGGATTCTAAATTACTGTCGTACTTTTTTCAGGGATAGTTTATCATGATCTAAAAGAATGCTAACTAGCACATCCACCACGCAAGGACTATAGAGAACTAGTTTTTAGGAGGCGCACCAAGTTTTTGTTTCATTTGGCATGGGTTCATCTTCTTCTTATTGTTTCACCAGTTGGGTGAAAAGCTTTGTCTTCTTCTTCACTGTGGTCTGGCTTTTCTTTGGCTATGGTCGCCATGGAAGAGTAAATGCGGCAACAACTACCGTCAAAGTGAACAGCATCACTTCAAAGGTGGAAGACGCAGTTAGTTTCCATATATATTATGGACAGACCTTCAAAGTCATAAAAAATGCCATTGACGGCAAGAGCTACCTTCTCATCCAGGTACTTTCTCTTCGTACATAATCCTAGCTAGTAGGGGAAGCTGGTTACTACTCTACATGACTTTTTTTTCTCACTTTTTTTTTGGATGTAACAAAAACAATAGAACAATTCAAGGATGGCAGCAAGGACAAAATATTGCACCTCAAGGATCAAATCTTTTGTTATCCCATTATCAAACTATTCAATCGATGCCGATTATAATTTTCCAGGTATTGGTTACTAACTCTCCATAACACCATTTATATATTATTTTCTGATTTATGATCTTTTGTGTTTATTTCTAAAAAATTCTTGTAAAATTGCAGTTTCCTTTTTCGAGGTGAGGATCGTCCAGCTCCAATGAGTCGTAATTCTAATCTGTCTTTTCTCCCCTCCCCTTCTCCTTAATTTTCTAATTTTAATTATGTTTTAAGTATATCTTCCATATGTGATCACGGCACCATCTTCACATATATAAGGATTTTATTACAATTTTCTTTTTTGCTGTATTTTGTTATATATGCAGCTCCTGGGATTACTTGGGAGCTTGAAGGGCATTACATCAGACTCCGTGGCTTCTCAATGTGTGTTGAAATTGTATGAAGCTGGAGAAATTGAGGTGATTGACAAAAGTGAGCCACAACAACTAGCAAAATTTGCAGCACATTTTATTACCTACACTGACCAACCACAAGCTTGCAATTTTGCCTCTTTTGTTCCTTATGGAGAGGATAACCCTTTGCAGGTAACCAAATGATGTACACAATTTTTCCTGAAAAGGTGAAGTTATTCTTATTAGCAACCCCTAGCTATTTATTAGTCTATAAGTTCAAATTCCTCCTCATTTCCAAATGTATATATATATATATATATATATATATATATATATATATATATGAGATTCTATTGAGGGATCCTTTATTTGAGAGACACCCTTATACCTCTTTTGTTCCTTATGGAGAGGATAACCCTTTGCAGGTAACCAAATGATGTACACAATTTTTCCTGAAAAGGTGAAGTTATTCTTATTAGCAACCCCTAGCTATTTATTAGTCTATAAGTTCAAATTCCTCCTCATTTCCAAATGTTTATATATATATATATATATATATATATATATAGAGAGAGAGAGAGAGAGAGAGAGAGAGAGAGAGAGAGAGAGAGAGAGTGCTTTAGATGAGTATCCCTCAAATACTTAATTAAGGGATATCTTTGTAGGGTCCACCACACATTGTATTTGAATGATCTAAACCGTCTGGAATCTGGATAATTAGTTTGTTTTAAATATCTTGTTAGATTGGTTAATATGGTAATCAGTAGCTCCTACTTTGATTTTTATGCTTCATTTTGGCCAAGAAAAAAAACAAGGTTAAATACTTAAATCTGATTCATTCCCTATATTTTGGTAGAGAGCAGAGTGGATCAAGTTCTTGGGAGTGTTCGCAAACGTTGAGAGCAGAGCAAATCAAGTATATGATGCAGTAAGTACGAGACAACTAAGGAAAACTAAATAAAATATTGAAAACAGAGTAAGTATGAAACATTTGTTGCACTAATATTTATATTTTATTATGCAGGTTACACAGAGTTATCAATGTTTGACCAACCTTACGAAAGGCAGGACTTCATTCAAACCAACAGTAGCATGGCTGCAGTACGAAAATGTTGGTCAACAAACTTTTAGCATGACAGGGTTATTACATCAAATAGGGAATTTTCATAATTGCATAATAATTAATGTCATAGATTATGTCACTTTTTAGCTAAACATATTATCATTGCACTTTTTTGTTACTATTTTTTCTTTGGTTTTAGTTCTTTTACTATTTTAAATGAAAAGGGTAATTGTGTTTATGAGACAGTCAAGCTGTGGTAAATTCACTCAATTGGTCCAAAATAATAATAACTCACCACTAAATCCACAATAATTACTTCTTCTATATGACTTATTAGTTAATTAGATTTCCTTTTTCAGGATATATGGTCTTTTACAAAGGAAACATACAAGTTGAAGGTAAGCACAAGATATCAGTAATTTCTGTAATTCTCCTGTCAATTATCATTTTTGTGAATATATATGTAGGAAGCCCTTAAAGAAACTTTTTAATTAGAGCATTTTACCCTTCCTAAGTTTACCAACTTTGGCACATTTAGATCTTAATTTTAAAAAGTTACAATTTCAGACCCGACGTATGAATTTGGCACAATATCGTCAATCCGATACTCAATTTTTACAGATTGTTAGACGGAGGCTTGATATGACCTAAATTTAGCTTTTGGAGTAGTAAAATGCAATTAAGCCTATTTTTAATTTCTTAACTAGAAGTTTACTACTTTTAACCGACATTTGCTCGTTAAACTTGGAACTTGCAGTATGTGGAAGACGCAGGTGGTGAGAATGTGGATGATTCTATCAACAAGATTACCTACAACATCTCTAGTCCTGACGATTTGGATCAACTGCATGCCATCCTATGTGTGAGTTGAAACACATATATATGCATATAAATAAATTATGTTGCTTAATTATGAGATTAATGTTAATCTTCTTTGTCCATGTAGACCGTGGATGTGGTGATTGACGAAACATACACTTCAGATGCAGTTAATTACAATTCATCAACGTTTCTCCAAAATATAAATGTGGAAGATCATTCTTGTTTTGTTTTTCTCTCTAACCAAAGCTTGTGGAGATACGATAAAAGAATTCTAAACTCAACTGCTCTTGGTAAGTGTTGCATCTCACTACATTTCCTTTTCCCCTTGTTTTTGCTTTTTTATTATTATTATTTTTTTAATACAAGCGATAGTCTAAATTATAAATGAATGGGGAGTTTCTCACACACACATTGCTAAGGTGGGTTCAAACCTGAGACCACTAATATGCAAGTCAAAATCCTTTTCCACTGGATTAGACCTCTTTGGCTAATGTTTTTTTTTTTTTTTAATGAAGTGAAATAGAATTAAAATTTAGTCTTAGGCAATTAAAATACAGTTGCTTTACATTTTACTTGGTTATTATTTTGTACTGGAAAATTGTGCATAATTGGCATCCCTCTCTCTTTCCCTGTATCTTTGTGTGCATTTTCATGTGAAGACTGGTATAATGGAGCAGTCTCCCAGCCACAACTGGTTTTAGCAGATCTTTTTGAAGTATTCTTCCCTACCGGAAATTATACAACAACATACTTCAGAAATATTGCAAAGGTATTAAATCATCATATCATGTGCTAATTAATAAATAAATGAAATCGCATAAAATAAAATAAAATATATTTTTTTGGTATATACAATTTATTACATCTGATCTGAACATGCAGGATGAAGGAGTTGTGCACATTACTTCTGAAATGTGTGATAGGGATATTTCCATAGCAATGGAGCCAACAATACCAGCTTGTGGATAACTACAACTATTGTCACATTTTTCCATTCCCATGGCCACTCAAGTTTTTCCTTCTATTTTTTTGGGGAGTTAAATTAAAAGGCTCTATTTTTTCCCTTCTTTTTTCTTTTTTTTTTTCTTTTGATAGCTGCAGCAATTTCATTGATGAAAGGACAATACAAGATAACCTCACAGAGGGCTATTGCAAATTTGAAAAAAAAACGTTTTGTTTTTGGGGTACAGATGGGGGCCTAAAGCCCCAAACCAAAAGAAACTAAACATAAACTAGATGAGGTCTAGCAACACCTCGAACATTAGCAGCTAACATAGCACTAAGAAAAGCCGGAGCCTACGAAAACACATGGAGACCAGGACCAAAATCATAACTCTGCGCAGCCAGAGCATCCGCATCACAATTTTGTTCACGAAAAATATACTTGATAGAGCAGCACCAATCCTCATGAATCTTCATTTTGCAACAATTGATAATACTAAAAAAAATGATTTCAATTTGACAAGGCTAAATAAATCTCCCCTTCTTTTTTGGGTTTCTTTTGTTTTTCTTTAATATTTTAAAGTTTCTTATCATTCCTCTCTGCCCATATTAAGAGACTTTTAAATTGACCAATCTAGTGGGCCACTTGGTGTAGAGGGAGAGTTTGGCTCACTTTTCCACCGTGGTGCCATCCCATGTGCAATACCGTTCCTCTTGAAAAGTTCATAATTAAAAGCTAAAAGAAAAACCTGACCTAGTAAAACGCAAATCCAAAATCAAAATTTATGCAAGGCCATTCCTTCTTGAAAAGTTCCTGATATCAACAACTGTAATGAAATATATACACTTACTGATCAAGCCTGGGTGCTTTTAACATTATCAACAAAATAAACCCCAAAAAAGAAAAACGGTTGGATGTTTTTAGAAACAGATATAAATCTCGATCTGGTCCTATCACTGATGACAAAAGAGATTGTCCAGCAAAACCTTGTACTAGTGGATACTCCTAGCTAGTAAATATATGTACTCCTGATGCACTTCTGTTCCAAGACAAGTAGGATGTATCCCCAAGAGGCCTGCACAAAAATGCAAAAGAAATTTCAAGCACGTCTCACTAATAGCTTGCAACATCGAAACAGCACACCCGATTGTGCTCGATTAACCAGAAATCAACTACTCAACTAGTTAAAGCATATTTCACTTTCTACTTCAAATTTTTAAATACCGATTGCCTAGAGGAAGTGGTTCTTTACAGCAAAAAGACTAGTGTAAATTTACTGTCAATGTGATCCTGAAGTGGCAAAATGATAGGACTTTGTCAACCAACTTAATGTTTAGACTTGCATATTTAGTTTGTAAGGCTCATCAGGAATGGAACTGGACGGGGTTTGCCTAAATTTTTTGGCATCCGACCCCCATTTTAAATACAAAATTTAGTAATTTACCATATACTTAAGCACTTACATAATTCAAGGACAACAGCTTTTTCCCAATTATTGTTTTTATTGTACAATCTGACCTTTGAAAAGCGAACCAAAGTTTTAACTGATCATAGTGCTGTAGACTTATGAACCAATTCACGTACCTTGGCTTTATCAAATATAGAAGTATGAAGCTTATAGCCAAGAACAAACAGAGTCCGCCAACAGTAAGGTATGCTATGCCTAGCAGATAATTCTTTCCACCAATCCAGCTTGCGGTTGAAAGTACGAGCTTCTTGTTGCCACCGAAGCTGTAGGTGTTATAATTATTCTCTATTGTTACAATTACTACATCATTAGCTTCAAGGTCCACTTCTATCCTCCCATATAGTTTTCTGAACGTTGGCAGTGCTGCAGTCCGCATCCAAACAATAAGATCTTCTTGTTCACTCAGCTTTTGCATGCAGAACCAGAGAACAATATTAACTTAAAGCAATAAACGAAATAAACTGTAGAAACACTACAAGACAGATAGGTGCGAAGATTTACAGGTATGCTAGAATTCAGTTTTGCTCCTCCAATCAAACCCCCACTCTGGAAATTTTTAGGATAGACATCCGAGCCGAACTTATTCCCCTTGTCACTTTTCCATGTGATGTCCTTTTTGTTGACCCCCAGTTGTTTGTTTTTCACTGAAAACTTGTATGTGTCATTAAACAAACTCCATGCAATCAGACCACAGGGAACAATTGCACCATTTGGTGAATTGCGTTCAGGAGCACAGTTGCTTGTTGTATTCTCATCAGACTTGCTCCGCAACTGACTGTCACTCCTACTTTTAACATATCTGGAAACAATATTTCACAATAAGAAACAGGGTCGTAGTATCTCAGAAATTTAGAATTACAAGAGAGGGGGATGGCAATTTGTAATGTGGCATTTTCAAGTTCCAATCAAATCTTCCTGAAGGATGCATAGAGCATTCAGTGAACTTCATCTAACAGAAAAACAATTTCCAAAATTTTAATTTTCTCTTGAAGAAAAACCATATAAAGTGAGAAGCTGGGTAACTATTTTTTTATTTTTCAGATGTTTGGTACACTACTGGCTAAAAGAAACAAGGTTTCAAACATTGTCCTAACTCAAATACTTCTATTCAGATTCAGAATATTACGTATACTCCATGGGTCACCATTAATGTACCCGAATACTCCTGCTTTAAATCTTATCTCTTCTCAGCCACAATCTTTTACCCTTCTTACTATGAGTATTTCGATGTGCTCTGGCCCTCTAATAGCCCTTTAAACAGATGCTTTTGATAAGAAAGCTATTTGCTATCACAATATCAAGAAGATAGAATTTTCGGTTTTCCGCAATTTTCACCTGTCTTAAATAGTCTTTCATTCCATTACTAATAAACTCTCTTATTTCATCATCACAACATCCAAAGCTCTAGCTGTTTCCAACTGTGAATCCCACACCTAAGCAAATGTAGGCAGGTTTCTCTAAGCTGTCATTTCTCTTTTTCCCGATAGGAAACAGAGGAAGGTTTCTCTAAGCTGGCCTAAGTCAGCAGAACATCACTCTTCTTGAGCCTAAGGCTCTGTTCCTCTTAACTCAATCTAGGAGTCTTCATCTGTAACACTGTTTGAAATAGGAAACCATTGAAGCACTTACTTAAAGGTTCGATCATATATTGAAACCAGTGAAGCACTTATTTATTTGGAATCTGGATTCTGCTTGTTGTTAGAAAGTGTATTGTGTGCTTTACTGTTTAGCTTTCATTGATGTATTGCTGTGGTGGACAATTCTATTTCATCCTGCAAGTAATAATTGCTTGCAGGATCTCTAGACACTAAGATTTCTCAAAAGCATTAAAGTCCCAGGCTTCCCAGCTTACGCTGAGGATAGTTTAAAGCTTGTCATATTGTTCATTTTTTCTCTCTTTGGCAAAGTTTATCAAACAGAAACTAGGCCCCTTCCATGAACTTCTTAAATCAAGCAGCCATGTCCATTCCACATACTCTATAAAAGAAATGATACATGACAAGAAGAATTTTACATACCGGCGATGATTCTGATAGAAATGATCAAGCTGGTAGTAGATGTAAACGGGAGATTTCATTTGTTTTGGAACCTGAAATACCTCCAGTAAATGTAGATTATCATAAGTATATATTCCCAACCTAGAGAGAAGAGAGAGACTATGAAAAATTAAGCCTGAACTTTATTATATATAGCAGTAGCAGAGGATTGAACTTACAGTTAGTCTCCTAATACAGGTCTTGTTAGTTTTACTATTCTGAATAAATGCAAGCTTATCGTCCGTATATCTAAGAGGAACACAATCTTTGTCATAGTGGTCCACAATTTCCACCACCTGCATGTAAAAGAAAGCAAATTTTAGTTTCATGGTAAAATTTAACAGCAGCCATTGATTGAACTTCACAATAAGCACTACATAAAGGACAATGAGATATATTACACGCTCTGATGCAAATAAGGAAGCAAAGCCAATAGGGATAAAGATAATGCCGATTGTGACAAATATAGAAATGACCTGAAATAATAAAAAAAGAAACGTATTTAGACAAAAAAATGTAAAGTGTCCAAATTGAAGCAAAACCTATAATTGAGAAGAAAAATTCAATACAACACATATACTTTACCCATCCTGGTGTTAAAATTGGTTTGCAAGCTGGAAGCTCTTGCTGTGTGAACTTGGAATCTGGAATATATATCAGAATGTACCAAGCATATGACTTTTGTTAGAATAATGCTGTAACACCATTAGAAAAGGATTGAATTGAACCATTCAGACTGCAGATTGACAATCCAACTCCAATGTTAGGAGAAAAGAAAAGAAAATTAAACTGTCAACAAATGGGGTTACAATGGGGCCCTCAAAATCAAATTCTTATTCAAGGACCAACAACCATGTTTTGATAAATACATAGAAAATATGTTGGCTACGTTCCTACAAGAAAATGCTGAAGTTTCTGCATAAACCAATTGGATTACCCAATAAAGCACATGAAGTTTCCTTGAAAGAAAATGTTACAACCACAATGAAGCATCCAAATAAATGTTTTTTATATTTTATTTTAACAATGGAATTCAAGAAAAACCGTAAACAGCAGAAACCAAAATAAATTTGTATTATAAAAAATAAAATAAAAATAAAAAAAGCCATGCATTTATGCTAAAATGGAAAAATGAAACAAAAAGGAAGTTAGAAAGGTACGAACATTTGGGTCTTCTGGACTTCCTTTTGGTAGAGGAAGATGAGGCTCCATCTTTGCTCATTGATCCTAATTTATCCATCTCCACGATCCCCTTCCTCTACAATGCCACAACTCCCACTACTCACACACAGAAAACAACAGAAAAATTGTTAAAGGGAGTAATGTGATAGATCAATTGAGCCAAAGCAAAAGAACCCTTTTGAAAATTTGGCAACTTTCTTTCTCTTACTACAAATTTCGAATCATGGAAGGAACAAAATGCCTGCTTTGTTTCATTTGTTAATCTGAAATTGACACTTACCTTCTTTTCTTCTCTTTTTCTTTTTCGATATATTTTTTTATTTTTTTTTTGTTTTTTGTTTCTTTGTTTTTTCGGGTAGTTGCTGCGTAATTTGGTGTACAAGATTGTTAGGAGAAGAAAATGGAAGGAAGGATGCGATCTCATTCATGTGTGTTGCG